CATGAAGAAATAGTTGATTTATTTTTTATTTAAGTTATTCTACGAACAATGTAACATGATTATTACCGATAAAGGGGGTGAATGCTTAATCTCAACACCTTTTTCATATTGTTCTTGACTTTCGTAAAAAGGTGGATTACACATGCAGAATGCAAACCTAATAATGAATGCAAAAATTTTAATAAATAAAAGTACATTTTACTAATGTAAATTAAAATCCGATTTCTATACAACTTTATATAAAAATCGGTCTTTGCCTCCCTTTACGTAGGCATTATAAATAACAGTTCGCAACAGTTCTGAAGTAAAGAAAACTAAACTTGATAGAATTATTGGATAAAACTTCATCGGACAACATAATTTTTTTTTTAAGTAATCCTTGATACCAATTATAGTTGGTATACTTCTAAAATTGGACGGCTGGAAACAGTTAACAAAATTGTTCGTGAATTAAAAAAAAATGGAGTAAGTATCATTTTCTTTGTGTCACGCTTATAGTTCATAATTAATTTTATGAATACGTTATTTTGTATTTTTAAGATCGATAATTATGTAGTTACAGAATTTTGTCAGGGACAAACGCGAAGATGGGGTATCGGGTGGTCTTTTGGAACCCAACGACCACCGATGGTAATATAATATTCAAATTTTTGGAAAAATTACTGAGGTTTACAGGCTTGAGAGGAACTAACTTTATTCCTTTTGTTTCAATTTCAGAGCATTTCGCAACCATCCTCTAAAAAGCTTCGTAAAGCTGGCCCCCCTAAAAGTGAATTCTGTGTGGTCTTATCAACAAACACAGATAATCTCAAAGAATTTCTTAAAAAGCTATTCGATCAATTGGAAATTGGAGGGCAATGGATCGAAGATTCTTATACGTTTATTGGTAGTACAAATATTAATACTTGGTCGCGTGCTGCTCGTCGGCAAAAATCGAAAACAGATTGCCAAATAGAGCCATCTACCATAGTTTCTACATCAACTGATGAGTCTTTATTTGAGTTTACCTGTAATATTGAGCCATGGAGTGTTAACACTAATACTTCTAAGATTACATTTTCATGGACAAATGGCAAAGATCGAAGTATTTTTGAATCATTTTATGCTCATGTTAAGAAAAAATTGGAGCAGGAGTTTTCCACTGACGAATAATAATGATTACGTATAAGTCATCATATTATTCTCTAGTGATCATTATCATTTTAAAATAGTTTTATACGATAGAAGGCATATTTCTGCGTTTTTTCACTTTTTTGTAAGTAAAATAGTAAAATTAGTCATTGTAAAGCTTTGTGTATATTTAAAAAGAGAAGAAAAAAATTCGACTACTAGGTGACGCTTTCTCATTTCCCGACTTACAACTCTGAACTTCAGAATTAAGAATCTTAGTATGCGTTTTTTATCTTTCATGAAAATTCGCTTGCGCAATTCGAGGCCAACCAAATTTTATCTTACTGAGATTGAAACTACGGAAAATTCTTATTGCTGATGTTTTAAATAAAGTTCATTGAATCAGTTTGTAATAAAAAATAAAATTCAAGTAAAAAATAAATGTGAGTTGGTAAATTATGTTTAAAGGTTAAATTTCAACAATTTTAAAAAATAAAAATAACAAAATTTATAAAAATTTTTGGAATTTTTCAAATTATTGATTATTGTTAATTGGTTAGCAAATTTTAATAAAAAAAATCTAAATTTAAATTAAATTTAAATTTAAAGAATAAATACAGTCAACCCTCTCTATAGTCACCTCCTCTTTAGTTACAAAATTAGTACAGTATAATTACAAATTTGTTTTACCAATTATTTATAGCTATATAAAAAATACCTCTATATTAGTCACACCTCTTTATAATCACAGTTTTTGTATCCCGAAGGTGTGATTATAGAGAGGTTTGACTGTATAGTAAATTAGATAAAAAAACTTTTTTTAACAATTATTTGAATTAATTTTTTACAGAATATAAGTTGACTTAAAATTAGAAGTTAAATTATTTAAAGTTTTTTGGTTAGGGCATCTGATTTTTTTATTAGAAGCTTATTCCCTTTCTCCTCTTAATATATACTGTATCTTAATCAGGTCTTTATATATAATTTTAAATTTTTTACCTTTCTTCCTCTTTAAATAATTATCTGATTGTTGTTATGTCTTTTACAAGTTGTTAACAAAATTTATAAATATAATATTGTATATTTTTTTATTTTTTTATTTAACTAACCTCTTTGTATCAGTAAATTTTTTAGGGTGATAAGTATCGATTATAATTTAAAGATATTAATTGATTAATAACATCACCATTGTAAGAAATCGACAATAATTATATATATGATAAAAATCAATATAGATAAAAATTAATAGTTATCATTTATATGATAAATATCAATAAAAATTAATATAAATATAACTCGATAGTTATCATTTGTGATAAAAATCGATCAGATAAAAATCAATAATTATTATTCATAATAAGAATTAATTTAGATACAAATTGATAGTAGAGAATTTTTTAAGCTGATAAATTATGATTATTAACAATTAATCGATTATTATCAATTAAATTTGATTGATAAGAATTGATGGTGGTGATTGTAATTTTTTTTTTTTTTTTATTAAGGTGAGGCCTTGCTCGTATCTTTATTAATAGTTTTTAATATAATAACTACAGTGAGTTATTAACCTTTAA